AATCACCAGCTTCCAATAGTCCCCACTTTGAAAAGAGGCAACGGGAATGTGGAAGCTTGAGTAGAGCCGCATGCCACCAAACAATCAGCCTTTTCACCGTGTAATTCAAAGCATGCAGAACACGCAGGGCCACAAACCGAGAATTTGCGGTTTGGCAGGTGGCCTTCCTGGCCAAGCGAGGCTGGAATTCTTGGACTCGGCTTTCGGAAAGAAATTCTCGTCGTCAAGGGGTTAAAACATCCCATGAGGGTTGCTGGATGGACAACAGGTGGAAAATGTCCAGTTACAAGGGCCAATACCACTGATCTATTGCATGTACCGATAGGTACGGAAATTGTCTAGAAGGGAAAAAGCAAAGTTTGCCTACCAATGATAAGCTTTTTATTTATTCAATCATTCCTTCAGTCAAACTAGTTTAGTTTTTAAATCATGGCACACAACCTGAATTACACATGATTTACGATATAAGAAGCATTCAAGTGATACGTTATTGTCTCCTTTACCTCAAACTGCATGTACATTCTCCACAACAAGACACAGTGTCGAGAACTGCGACTCTCGGATGCTCTGTCAAACAAGGCACGAATACGATTGCTTATCCCCGTCTCTGGTAACGACACTAGGGAGAAATGATAGCAAGAATGACAAAGCGCCGATCAGGAAGAGCAATATTAATTATCAACTTTACGCTGTGTTCCAAGCCTTATGAGAACCCCACCCAGAAGAACTCGTGAAAGATGATTGTTACACATGAATCGAGGGGTACCGATAAGAAACATAACACACTGATGTGCAAATGCTGCAGGTAGTTTTCACGTTATTACCTGAAATGCAAACTTTACTAAATTTCACTAAGGAAAGCATAAGTTTGACAATAATGGGGAAGATAAACTAACCTTCAATTTGTGGAGTTAATAGGCCTTTGACTTCTGCAGCAGCAGTAGCAGCAAATATAGCCTCCTGTCGCAAAAGCTCTGCCCTGGTTGCGAATAACCATGTAGTGGGACAGCCGCTTTGTTTTGTTGCCTGATCAAAATACCGGCGGACTCGCCCGGCGATGTGGGATCGGGTCTCTGATTGGATGAATGCCTCCAACAAAGCCGGGCTGGCAGGAAACTCTAGAAGGGAGCTCTTAATGAGGTTCCTCAATGCTCCTAGAGGGCTGGGATTGCTGTAGGTGTAGAACGAGAATAGCTTGACGTGGGCCACCGTCAGTAACTCTCGGTCCACTTGTAGCTGCCGTGGACTCAAGTGGGAGCCTGTCGATCTGCCTCGCCTGAGTACTGACAGGGTGGACTCGAAGATGACTGATGCCGCCTGCATGCCCACAGTCAAGTACTGGAAGATAGCAAAGCACTTGGTCAGATGCACAATGTAGCTTCCTAAAGGTTGACACCACTCTGAGAATTCTAATGGATCAACATCTTGGCTTTCACCTCTTTCCTTTGAGTGAGAGTCCAAGGCTTGAGTTATCATCTCTTGGTAGTGTCTCCTAGCTTTCAGGATCCTCGTGGCTGACACACTCTGTCCTTGTACCTCTTGAAGAGGACTAAACAATCCATCTTCCATCACGGAAGTCAATACATGTAGTGCTTCCATATTGCTTGCATCTACCACTCCAACAGATGTGGCGGAGGCAAGGTCATAATGGACAAACATGTCTGCAAATGAACATGCCAATTTGATGGCAGCTTGCGTGGATGCATCTGTCCGTGGCTGTCCTAGGAACAAAAGAGCTGTTTGAAGCACACGTCTGGCTTCCTCCACATTCTTGAGAGAGTGTTCCCAGTCTGCTAGGGCAGCCCAGAGGTCCAAGTTGTTGCGGTTCTCCTCCTGGCCCAGAAGCTTCTTGGCAAACCTCTTTGCCTCCTTGAGACGCTTCTTCTGTCTGTGCTTGTCGTCTATGGTAATCATTGCTCTCTGCATCTGAAAGTCTAACCTCATCAACAGAAGCTGCGTCTGCATGGGTTGGGGAAAAACTGGCGTAATTTGACTGAACACGTCCTCCACAAAGTCTTCGAAAGCCCTATTTTCAATGTTGGCATCTCTGACACCACTTGCTTTGATGCAGTCTAGGCTACTTGTCAGCTGCTCTAGGGTCCTACAATTACCAGCAACTCCCGCAAATGTTAAATTTGGTTTACTGACTGGAGGAAAAATCTGGCTTGGCTGTTCTAGATAAATCCCTGAAGTGCTGGTATCTTTACTGGGAGATTGCAACAAACAGCCAGGGACCGGGACACCGAGAAAGTCAAGGAAGTAAAGGACAAGACAACAGTGGTTCTGCCGAGCAGTGAGCTTGAAGAGAGCCTGACTGATGTCGTCAAACAGGACCATGCGCTCAGGATCCTCACAGTCTTCCTCCGTCTCACCCTTGGCTTCATCGGGACGCCAGGGAGCAAAGTGAGTGCCTTCCCTGAAAACCTCTTCACGCATCCAGGCTTGCCATAGGGGTTGGTGCGATGAATACGCAACAGGGGTGGAACTCTCCTGTGAACCTTCATCAGCCTCTATGGCATTAAACATTTGACAAATGAACAGATGAACTGAAAGATGTACAGTACATCTAGCATGTGCATGTCTCCAGGCAAAACTTAAAAGCTCTTTTGTTTGATTTACTTCCAGTACTCTATATACTAGCAAACTGTACAGAGAAGATGTCATCCATTAATCTAAAAAGAGTTGGAGAAGAGTAGAATCGGCCTCCTTGAACTTTTTTTCTGATATCAGTCTCCATAGATTTTTCTTGGGTCCTATCAAGTCTGCATGCTTTATAAGAGTGTGCTCCTGACAAGTCTAGTTTTTGCCACAGGGTGCCCCGAAATGAACATATCTTTGTCAACTACACACAGAAAACATCCACAAATAACATGGGCCAGTTTTGTGGGCCTACATGTAGACTGTACTTCAGGAAGTACTGTATAGGAAATTTTTGTATCAAACCATAATAAAGGGGGTACCAATTACCAGAAGTATGCATTCCACAATTTATGGCTGGTAACCTTGGTTTTGCAATAAGCAAATATTTCCTACGCTTAGCAATTTCTGAACTTCTAGCTTGCTGGCTGTGCCTACTGGACAATCTGGCCCCTGACAAGGCATCCTACAACCAATAACAGTCGGGCTCACCAGGGACTCTCACTTCTTCCCAGCCTCCCATTTCCTTCTTCAGCATCCAGCTAGCCCAGCCTCTGGCCCCTCTCTCTCCAAACCGGGGCTCGGCGCTGTCCCAAAATGTCTCCAGAAATGCAACCTGAACATGAAATTTGGTGAGGTATACCATGTGCTTAACAGTGACTGGACTAATGGCAGGTGGTGGGTGAAGGTAGTTCATATACTTCTTAAACAGGTTTTCGCTGAGTCATATGAGGCAGCATTTATACAGCATTTCCAGTATAAAAATGCCTTTGACATTTCTGCTGATTTGGTGAATCCTGCCCAAATACAATCAAAACAAAAAAATTGAACAGACCAAATGCCCGCAACATTTAGAGAAGAAAAATGCACTTGACGCAGCAACCAAATCTGTCCAATCCCTGAAATGTTCATATTACAACGAGCAAAGAAGTTTTACTGGGATAGGTCTGAAGCTTTGATCTCTAACATTGTACAGTGCTCTAATGTACCAACTGATATACTCAGTCAATAGTGTCAGTCTCTGTTACACGAAAAGAATAATTACAAAAGTATTACAAATAAAGAAGTACAAATTGGCAAACAAATACATGTAGGCTGATGGCTTCGGCTTAATCCAGGAAATGGTTAAGGTTTATAATTTAAAACATATCTTACAGTTAATGTTTGTTTATTCTCTTATTTTAAAAATTATTTCACAGAAACCAATCCATTAGCCGTTTTCAATCAACGTCAGGTAGAGGGCATTAATTTTCACAAGAAAGTTGGGGTTTTTCAACATTGGACATTTGAAAAATAAAAAGAATCACTGGACTGTAAGCATAATCAGCTGGGGAATTAATGTGAATCCATGTACTAGTGACTGTTGTATTACCTGGCCCTGCAGGTGCACATCTTGTTGAAACTGAGGGGGACAAAAGCAATTGAGCTCAATCATGGCCTGAAAAGCGGCCACTGCCTTCTCTGTGTGGCCTGCCTGCCGCCAGAAATGGCATAAGCTGACAAACAAATCTGCGGATGAAAACAAAAGAATCAAGAAAATGAAGTTTTAGCAGGATGTGTACAACCCAATACAAAATGCCCAAGAGCTCGAACTGGTTGAAAGTCAATTTCTGACAACTTGTAACACTGGCTCGAATGAGTATGGCTGACAATGAGCTGGGGTGTGTTTTGGCTGTGAAGACTTTCCAATTTCTCACCGAGTAAATGGCTCTCTAAGTCTACAGCCTCAACACCATCCAGATCTGCCTGTCTGGCGACCAAAGTCTGGAAGCACTTCCCATAGAGTCCAGCCACCTTAGAGATGGAGAAACTAGAGAAGGAGGACTGCTTGAAGAGGAGGTACTCTCTCCAGAGAGCAATGTCATCTGGGTTGGACTTCAGGAGCTTTTCCCACTGTCTTGTCTGCTCTGATCCATCCAAGAATTCTTTACCAATCTCCAGCTGTTCGAGTTGCAGCGGGACACTGTTGGGGTTGCGCAGGAGAGCTTTGTCGAGAATGGCCAGCTTCTTTTCGGCAATCAGCTTGGCCCTCCTTTTCCGGTTGCCTTGCTTTGCGGTGCTTGCATCGTCATGGCAGCCAGCAGACAACTGCCTGTCGTAATCGGCATTGTCCTGGAAATGGACGAACTCCAGCCACTTGGGAATGTCATGAGGGTCCTCATGTAGGTGACGGTTGTATGACGCCACAGTCTTTGTGAAAGCCGAGTGGCCAGCAATGGTAGGTGCTGACTGTTGATAGGGTTTTTCAAGATTTGAGCAGCCCGACTCCAGAGTGGATCCAAGGTACGCTTGGGTGGAAGGATCGTAAATCCTGAGAGGGTCGAAGTCAAGCCTGGGTGGGCTTGGACGGTCTATGGGGATGTAGGAATCAGTACTCTGTGTTGGATTTGTCCTTTGTTGAAATGTTTGTGCCTGACTGACCTCGGTACTTCCTACATGTACTTCCACATTATCATCCACTAAATCAACAAGATCCCGTGTGAAATATCTGAAGGTGTTTGACTCTGCCTTGTGTTTCTTCTTAGCTTTGGTAGCACTCTTCCAAGTCACTGACTGACGCTGTGTATCCAATCCAAGGCATGACTGTCCGACGCGATGGTAAGCAACAATGTCAGTGAAATGAAGGCTGTTGAAGCACAGATTGCTCCTGTCTGCTTTCACATCAATGAAGAAACCCTCAGCTACACTAGCTGTCTTCCTGTTCAAGAAATTGAGAATAGAAATGATTTCTTTCTAATTGTTTGGCTGGGGTAATGGCCAACATGAGTATGAATCACAGAAAGCCTTTCCTGGGTGGAAACATACATTGAACATGTAACCCATGTGCTTCCAGGTCCATGTACATGCAGTGCAAAGAATACGTGAATGAGGTCATTTATAATGAGCACAGTAAATTTGTCCATTCGTTTTTTCAAACAGAGTCTCTCTTTTTCTGAGAAAGACGAATTTTGACTCTGTTGCTGATGCATACTTAAGCTATTACTTAAAGTTTTTTTTTATTGATTCTTTAATCTAGTATTTTTCAACAGTATCTGAGAGCAACTCTGGTCTCTCTCTTAACCAGCAGCATAAAGGCTATCTAAATTCAAATAACTGACGATATTTGGAGTTTCATTTGATTATACAAACTTCCCAAAAGAATAGAAACAACAAACTAAGCAAGTTTGTGAAATGGTCGAATTTGTTGAGTCTCAGAACAGGGGTCCCCTAGTTGAAGGAAGAGGATGGGAGTCCAACTATTCATTTGGTCCTAGTGAGTGCAGTCACATGACTCAATGAGTACAAAATCGGAACAAAACAGCATCTCTGAGAAATGACAGTGGGAATGGGATCTACCTCTCCAATTTCATGGAATCTCTCTGAGAGGGGCTTTCATCACTGGAGTCACTTGAATCATGTTCCTTCCTTCTGTTTTTCTTGTGTTTTCTCTTCTTGTCTCTGTGATGTCTGTCATGATGATGTCTTTTCCTCTGATGTCTGTGACCAGGCTCTGCTTCGTGGTCTCGCTTGTGTTTGCGCTTTCTGCTTTGCTTGGCGCCAACCAGTGGTGAAGACTCAAAGCGTTCACTTTCTTTCAGATGTTTCAAGCTCGAGTTTGATTCTTCTATACCGGTTCTTCCAGAATCGTGGTCGGAGTTGGAGCTCTCTGATGTCTCGCGATGACGAGGGAGAGTTTTGGAACATTCTTGGAGTCTGTCCCCTGCTGTTCTCAGGTGTTGCCTGGCGATCGCGACTGCATCATCGCTCCGGAAGCTTTTATTGGTCAGCCAATGTAGACTTTCATTCTCTGAAAAAAGAGGGATATTAGTATTGTTTACTTGAAGATGTGTTGTAATTTTAAGCACTGTTACCTTTACAAACCTTCTAGAAGCTGGTGACAAAATGGGATGCACATTTCAGCTACAGTTTCATCTTGATGCACAAAATACCCCTGTGGCACAACTTCCTGAAAAAATGTGACCACAATCAAGCCTCATTTTACCCTTCTTCTACTGTTGTAAGGCCAGTTTAAACTTGAACCCATTGGCGGGCTTATCATCAAGTTGCAAACTTTAATTAACCCCTAACCCTTTCCATCCTGGCTCCATTCTTCCCTGCTGTTCCCCCGACCCCCTAATCTTACAGGTGGGGATTGTCTTCAGAGGACATGGATGAACTGGTACGGATATGCTTTTACTATTTTTCAAGCATGTAAACTGAATATGAGCAGTGACTGTTGGGGGGCTTCCATGGTAGCACTGCCTTTGCGAGGTCATATTTTGGACTTAATTTCCTTGAAAAACATTCTTCAAAGTAAAGCAAAGAAAAGACGGGAAAGAATTCCACACAAGGATATCATTTGACAAGTGACAGGTGCCAAACCCCAGTGGTGAGCCTGAGATAGGTTAAGCTATGGTACTTTCCCTAGAATCCAAGCTAGAGTTCTACTTCTGGGGCATGTGGGGCAGACATGGCAGAGAAGGATCTGAAAAAAGTCAGCTAAATGCTCCAATATTTTTCCTACTCGCAGAGCTGTGAGTCACACAGTATATGGCTTACAGTTCTGGGGGTAGGCCTAATATTTTTTCTGCTTAGTTTGACTTTTTAGGATATACATGTACAACATGTACATGTATTAGGCCTATCGTTTCTGGTGGCTAAGGTGTCATTGGACAGAACAATCAGTGACGTACATGTGTGGAATTCTCATTCCATACAGGGTTGTTTTAAAACCCCCTCGACCCACGACCCTCTCGACAGACAATTTCACTTGAGCCCATGTAGGACTTGCTGCTGATCACAAACCACACCTACCTGGGTGTCAACATCACACCGGATCTTACATGGAACTCACATATTGTGAGAGTACCAGCCAAAGCAAATAGAACTTTGGGTTTTCTACGTCGCAACTTGTACTCATGCTCCAAAAATATCAAGGACATGGCTAAAGACACTTGATGACCAGTACTCGACTACTGCTCTTCCATATGGGACCCACACACAAAACTTCTCATCGACAATATTGAAGCAGTCCAAAATAGAGCAGCCCGCTTCATCACAGGCTCATACAGCAGAAGGAGCAATGTCACTGCCATAAAACAGGAACTCCAGAGGGAGGACCTAGCTACAAGATGAAAAGTAGCTAGGCTCATCAACTTCCACCAAGCATTAGGGGGTCACCTTGCCGTTCCAGTGAGAAATACCCCGCATCCGTCCAACGATCTGCCAGAAATACTTCACCAACCACAAATAATTTCATATTGATTGCAGCAACCAAGAACTGCTACAAATGCTCTTTTCTTCAACGCATGCTAGTGGACTGGAACTCTTTGCTCAAAGAGATCACAACAATCCCGGACAAAAAGAGTTTCTAAACTGCCCTCAACAAACACTTCAATATCACCCGAAAGAAGAAGCAGCAAAATAAGTAACTATTTCACAGATCCATGCACACAACCAATCCTGCCTGTGTGACCCCTGAAAAGGGGTGTTGGTGTAGTATATATCAAGACAAGACAAAGGATTACATCTGAAAACGGTACTCTTCCCACAGGTACTCACCTATCGATTTCTGTGTGGGGAACATTACTTTACAGTCGGGAACCATCATAAAAAGCCGGCGACCAAAGCGTATACAAGTGCAGTTCGTTCCCAGGGTGTCGAGCAGTACGCACATTGCTGTTATGTATGTTACAACTTCCACAAAAGTGAGGATGCATGAATAAATAGAAACAGTAAGTTGAAACGTCGTCCACATTTATTATAAACCACTTAAAAGCATGTGCAGTGGGATTTTTAACCACTACAATAATTATTTTCAAGTGAAAAAGCTTGTTTTCACCAGCATAGTTCAAATAAATTTCTCAGGCAAGAAGATGACAGTGTCTACACCCAAATGTGGGGTCCGATGTCCGCCGCACTCACAGTTTTGGGGGCAGACAGTGTCCACAAGCGGCCGCCTAATTTTTTTTCTGGAAGGGTTAGGAGCAATTATCATATATAAGCCTGGTTAACTGCAAGCTCGATTAAATTAAAGGAAAGGAACTTCGAAGGTAAATGTCGAGCTTTATTTTCCTATTATAAAAACATCCTCTAACCAACTAATTCTCTCCCCCTAAAAAAATCATGACTGCATTCACAATGACTCAAATTCGCACCTCACCGCTAATGAGTCCAGTGCTCTTCTATATGAGGTACTGTGCAACTCGGGAGAGAAAGTAATTTTGTTGTATTTTATACTTAAATGTTTGTCCGCGCACCAAGCCATTTATAACGAATGCCCTCAACATTCCTATGAAATATACGCACGTGCAAAGGTGCAGATACGTACGTTTTATAATTACCTCTAACCTAACCTACTCCTAAATGCCACCATTCTTATTCATCATTGAGTCTCACGCGAAGCCATGGGCCGCATGCAAGCATCACTTTTTAATGCGCTTACACATGTATACTTTTCAAGCTGGGGAAACTATGCGTAACACAGTTCCTACATGTCATAGAGCCCTCTGTTTGAAAAAACCACACCATGGGCATGATGGGTACGGTTCAGGCACCCATTAATCTGTGTTTTCAAGGATTTATAAGTTGAGGGGCTTGTGGGGTCGAGGAGGTTTTAGAACGACCCTCCCACACGGGCTTATCGATACAAATACCGGGATTTAACATTACAACAGCCCACCTTGTTGTTCTTCATGTTCTTGCTGTAGGCCTACTGTGCCAGCATTCGGCTTGATGACCCCTTCACTTCTTACTGATTCAGCACTTGGAAACAACGATGTCGACCGATTCGACATTGCTAGCTACACAGACAAGCATACTACCTGAAACTGGTCAAAAGTGATCAAAACTAGGGGAAGAATTTCATTTGAGAAACTTCACAGCAGACGACATGAACGTGACACTGGAACCAGGCTCATGATCGCGCATTATTTTCATGTCCTTGAGATTTTCAATAGCGCCCTCAATTTTTCTCTGTCTTGAATTCTCGACACCGGCATCGCAGAAAAACCAAACAGCCCCACCCCTACACTTTGCAAACACGCTCAGTAAACTTCTGTTGTGCATTTGAACATGCTGAAAGGCTTCACACTTCCTTTTCCATCTACGGCCTGTACATAGGACCTGTATAGTTTTTTGTGCATTCTAAGGTGGGTCAAGAATCTCGGGAGGGCTCAAATTTGCGAATTTCTATATTTTTATTATTATCAGTAACTTCTGGTATTAAATGACTGCAGCGGGATGTAATCTTCTATAGTTGCCGGAGCAACCAAGGATTCCGCAACCTTGTCCCATGCATTTTGCAAGCCTGAGGAAACCAGTTGTGTAGACTGAGAGGAGCAATGAGAAGTTGCGTTTGTAGGAGTGGGAATAAACACCTCAGAGGAATATTCTGGGTAAAACCGACGGACTCGGGTACGGGCTGAAATCCCAATCCATATCTGAGCGCTGGGATTCAAACCCCGACTGCAGAGGTTCTGGTGGAGGTAGAGGTCGAACGCAAGGAAACACTTCACCCACCTGACGTCCGATACTTGCATTCTCTTATGGGTGAAGCTAAATTTGGGGGTCTTCACACGCTGGGAAAGAAAGGGAAGAGGATTCACCCACTTCTCTTTACATTTTCTCATACTTTCCCCAAAAAGCAACCCCAAAATTGGTGATTGTGTGTGTCGGGGGAGGGGCATGGTCTCATTTACATCCCCCCCCCCTTATGCCAAGGTACCAAGAGGTTATTTTGAAGATTTCAGGATGCAATTTGACATTGCCCAACACATTCATACCGCTCAGTCAAGAAAAGTAACCACTGGGCAGGAATAAGTACAAGAAAACCGAACCAGAAAACCAGGAGGGTAAACGAAATATGATAAAATATTGCATGCACGAGACTTGGGTGGATTGCTAGAGCAACTAGTATTTGCTTTGAATCATCAAAGTGAACGACTGTGTTGGGGTGTAGAAAGACATTTCTTTTCTTAGACATTGCATTGGCAAGACCCCTCCTAAATCCCTTTAAAAACAGGAGTCAGTAGACAAAACAACAATTGAGTGAATACAGGTAGGATGTCATTTCGCACAGCAAATCAGCCAGTGAGTTTTAATGTTCATCTTAAACAGGGGAGAAAAGGATTTCTAGTGTTTAGTACACACAGGTAATCTCTTTTCTTCAGAAATTGCAGTCAGATTTAGTTTCTGAACCAGTTCTGGTGTATGGCCATGTACATAAAAATGAAATGCCATTGACCAGATATTGTGAGAAGGGTGGGAAATATTTCAGCCCCCCCATGTTGGCAATTTGGTTTCAAATTTACCAGGTCATTAAAAACATGTAACATAATAAATAAAATAACTTATAAAAATACCTGTTACTATCAAGGTCTTATTAGCCTTGTAACAATGGTGTTTGGGAAAATTACACAACTTGGTAAAACTATAATTCAAAAGACACAAAATAAGATTTTTCAGATGTCTCCACAGGTAAAACACTATGAATGCTTTATATGTCATGCATGTTCCTTGCTTCTTTACATATTTATTTCCTGGAATATTTTTGGTGGTAATTAATTTGGCTACTTTATGTCATAAATTTTGTATGCTTTTGGCAGTGAAGCTTTGAAAGTTTACAATAAAGAAATCCAAGCAGTTACCTGAAAAACAACCCGGAAGTTGTTTGTAACGCACACACAAAACAAAATCTTAATCAATGCTCTTTCAAGCTAAATAAGTTTATAATTTGGCTGGATGCAAACCCTGCACAAAAAAGTAAACAGTCCAAATTCGGCAACAAAAATTACATGTAAAAGTTTTGAAACTTTTAATGTTTGAAACTTTTAATTACATAATGTACATTACTCCCCCAGGACAGACAAATTACCCATTTTTATTCTCCCAACACAAACAAATTCCCCCCCCCCAAAAAAAGGTTTATGAGGAAGAGAAGCTCGAGGACAAATTACAAAATAACCTATAGAATGAACCTGCATTCAGGTTGATCAAACTCAATAGTAATGTAATAAACCTGAATAAAGGAGCTTTCTCTGACAAAGACCTTGTCATTTTAATAAGGATTGAAAAGTAATCAGTGTATGGTATTTCTGACCAATTCAATACCATGAACCTTAACCAATCCAAAGAAAATGTATTTATTTCATACTAGATTTCTGCTCTGGGTACAGTGATGTGTATATTCACTGTGTTTTTCAATATGGTTGGAGAGTTAATAAGAATTACAGGTTTTTATGTACTGCTTTTAATTATTAAAGATAAAAAAATCACAAGTCACACACTGTAGCTTGTGATTTTTTTCCACAACTCTGCCACCACGCTGAGATCCCAACACATCTCTGAAACTGGAGATTTCTTCATCAACTTCATTTCGCACAAGACTCATAGGTCTTTCCCAGAGCTTGGATTTACTTCTGGCGGTGGCTCCAGCTTCACTCCCACCCTGGAATCATTCAATATCATGTCCAAAACCAAACTTAAGACACTCCCATCTTTGGATTTGTGTTTAAGGTTTTATTTTGTTAAGCCAAAAAACCTACCAAACCTGAGCTCAACTCTAATTCTCAAAGAAATAAAATCAGAGAGGTGGAAGCTGAAGCCACATACAGAGATGAAACCCAGTTTTAAAAAAAGTACCCTTGTGAATTAGACGGTTCAGTTATGCCTGTGATAAATTCAATGGCTAGTACCTGGTGCCTTTCTCAACACAAGATGTACATGTACTTTCTTTAAGACCTTATTGGACAAATTTATTTGAACAAAGATGTATATTAGTGAGGAGAACACTTCCATACATGTACACTTGTGAACAGAATGTACATGAATTAAGGCAGTACCCGTGGTGCTTAGCAACACCTGTGCTCCCTTCACAAAAGTTATATGAAAACAATTGGCCCTAACCAGCGATGGGTGATTGATCTGAACAGAGTTCTACAAACAGATTGTCTACAAAGGACTCTTTGGTTTTATGACCGGATTAAAAAAATGATCATTGAAAAAGCTTCGTTTGAAAAAGAGTTGATCATTTTGAAACGACCTTTAGATGTTATCAATAACAGCTGAAAGATTTTGTTTGCCATATAAAGTACAGGTACTATACTTTAACCTTTTACAATGTAAATTCACTCTAACATTTGAAAATATTATCTGTACACTACATCAACAAATTTTTTTCCAGAAAATTTAATGGCACATGCATAAAAATTAATTTTCTCGCACGATTATTTCATTTCATGACTGGCTAACAGTTTATGACAGACAGAAGCGAAATGGACGACAGGTGATGACACAGATGAATCTTAACCTCCCTCCAAGGGGGGAAGGAAGAGACACAGATGATGTACAAATGATAAAGTTCCATATTCAGTGAAAACAAAATGGTACATTCTTTTGTGCAATTGAAATCTCTACAAATGACCAGATGGCACAAAAAAGATGGCAATCTAATAAGCACTTTTCGACATTATTCCATGTTGCACTTGTCCTGGGAGTGGTAATATTTTTGGTCAAAAATACTGATTTTTTTTTAACAAGATACCACAAGGAGAGTCCCTGGTAAATACTGACCCTTGGTAGCTCTTCTGTCAAAATCTGCACAACTTTTCACATCACATCAGACTTTGTTGCGGAGTGACAGTTGCTACAAACATCCTGCCGTGGCCCAGTGATACTTGAGGGCTCTCCACAGACTCAACCTTTATGAATTAGTTCGAGCTTGTACATGTGTACAACACCCAACTGCACAAGCTTGGGGACAAGTACGCGTACAGACATCACGCAGCATTACTTACAGATGTTACTGGAATCAACGTCCTCAGTGATATGACATGGGGAATCCCTGCACATTTACATGTCATCCAGCCCGGGCTGACACTCGCATAACAGAAAATTTCATTTGTATATACACTTTATACATTCTATTTTACAGATTTTGACTGAGGTGAATTTGCCTATGTATCGAAGAAGTCCTGAGTACCGGTGTTGTTGGATGCGTGACTCGCCCACTGGTTGGCCGCACTCCCTGAATCGTCTTCACTGTCACTGCCCAGGCTGTGCTGCCTACGTCGGACCTCGGCACTCGACAGTGGCTGGAATCTTTTTGTCGGACTGCTGCGACCATCATAGATCCGCTCTGAGTTGTTCGTGGAGGCCGACCCCTTGACATCCAGGGGGTTGGCGTTGTTGGCACCATCGAGCCACGAGTCTGACTCTAAAAGGTAAAATGAATATGCGACACACAAAAATCCTTATTAATAGTTAAGCCTGAACTCCTTTACTGCTCAAAAAATCTGAAATAAACCTGAGGATTCATAACTGCCAGGGTTAACTGAGAAATGTGACGGGATTCAACTAAGTGAGTCTGAAGGTCAGCTTTATCACAAATAAAACACCATATTAAAGTTCAGAACCCTTGACGCAAGTGCCAAGGCAGTGAAGCCTTCCAACCAAAGTAACAATCCAGACAAGAAGTCTTATCTGAATAGACCGATTCATTAGGCCCCCGTCCAAAGAGACTAAGAGACAGATTAAAAAAGGGAAAAAGAAGCCAAACTGACCATCATCGGCATTGAATGTCTCGTCTTTCTCCACATCAAAGTGAGCTTCATCTTCCACGGCCTCGTTGAGCCGTCTGGCCTTCTCCCTGGCCTGAGCCGCCCTCAGCTCTCGCATCCTCTGCTTGGCCTGGATCTCCGCCTGGTGCCTGGCTCGGTTCTTCTCAGCTGAGTGGTTTTTCTCCTCAAGCTGCAAATTGCAATTGATTTTGTGTGTGTTTGTGTGTGGGATATCTTGTGCTTTTTTGGGGAGGGGGGTTCATTTTATATCAGCCTTTTAAAAAATACGCACATGGAAACGGAATTACGTACACGTAGTAACCATGTAAATACTTCACTTTGTGCCTTTGAAAACATCTCGGTAAAATGAATTTTGGGGGTTCTAGGTACTATGAGGTCTTCAGAGAAATCTGGTTTTGCTGATGGTTTTGGCTCAACTCAGCTCCACTTGATTTACCTTGGAGGGTCTCTTTCATTTCACTGTTTCGTTCTTTTGTTCTGTTTCCCACAAAGCACATGCCACTCTGCAAAATCTTTGAGCAAAGAATTCCCACACAACTGACTCCTGAAATTAATTGCCCTGCCCCCTTTGTTCTTCTTTTCCCACAGCTTTGAAACAGCTCTGTGCACCTGCGCGGAGTATTTGGGGGATCCAGGAGGGTTAAAGTTAAGGGTTCATTTTCACCTGTTCACCTTTTGGGGGGGGGATGGGGAAAGGAGAGAGGGACATGGGAGGAAAGGGAGGGCCAGCAAGTGTGTACTCGGACACAACTATGGACTTTTCATTTCTTTAAACAATGAAGCCCCCAGGATAATTGGATCCCTGACGGGGGCTGAGGTTGGAAACTGTATGCAAAGCAAGAGGAAGTTCCTCTACAAATGTCTAAGTAAAGACAGCATTACGAGGACCAAGGGAGGCCAACAACTGAAGGCTTTTGCATCCTTCCTCGTTTGAGTGGAAGGGATTGTTCAGCAGCGGTGGGGGAGCTGGACAGGAGCTAATCTTACCTTCTTCTGATGGGCTTCAGCTGTCTGACTGTCTCCAAACTCTCTAGCTGCCAGGATATCTTTCCGTCTCCTCGATGTCTTCTTGGCACTCTTGGCTCTCTTCTGAAGCTCCTGTGATGAGGAAAAGTTTGAAGGTAGTTACCACTGCAAACCTTGGTTACTGATTTGTGCATCAAATTGATGCCGTCTGGCAGGACAGAATGATGTGAACTAGTTTGGTTGAAGAAGTGTTTATTCTGTTTGTGGCATTTCTTTATGCAAAATTATCTACCCGGGGCTTGGAATTAACAGGCACAGGTAGTTAAAGTGTGCTCGTTTGTCTCAGAAATGCGCCGGTAAATCATAAAGACGGCACAAGTACTTACGCCCGTTTGATTCCATTATTGTAGAGAAAATACTTGTACCTGAACATTTTTACTGTTTGTTTCTACGTTTGTCATGAAAAATACCTGAACTTTTTGACTTCACTTTGGATTAGCCATGTCATGGAACCATAACACGGGACAATTTTGTTGTCACCAAGCGCACGCTGCAGTCTCGCATGTGACGCATGCACACACATGAATGTACGCACGCATACCCGCTGCCAGTGTCACTATCTCGCTGAATAGTCTACACAGTGGCCATGTCTGAATCAATATGGATGGAATTTACACACGATTGTATGGAAACTGGCAACGACCACAACCTCCTAGACTCCTGCGTAAATTCAAGCAAAATGAGTGAATTCGGCTTAGACTTCAGTTTTGTTGGTTCCAGTCATAGCTTGAACATGTGGTTTTGAACGCTGCTCCAAAATAGCTGGAACCAGTGAAACCAAAATCTCAGCCTAATCCACTCGTTTCGAAAATGCTAGATTGCTGCAGTTAGTTCCCTTTTACATATGTGCTCATATGCACATTATAAAAGCCCGGTGCCCGACTGTTGGCGTCGCCTTGCTAATCACAAATGCAACAGCAAGGACCGCGGTCTTTGCTTTTTTCTTGAACAGATGTCTTTAATATTGTATGGGAGCTATTTTCTCCTATAAACTGACAAATTCAGCTGTCTAGGGAGCAAGTGCTTGCTCTCATGATGATTAGGCCAATAAACCATTTGCGAGTTAAATTTGAATAAAATCTGGTACACTGAGTTCTTTAAATTCACGTGAATGTAACAACTTGAATTCTCCATACTAGAACCTCTGTTGCTATACTGACCTCGTGATTCGAGGCAAGCTTTTTTTTAGTTACATAAGAGACGCCTTGCAACAATACTCTGTTCTCAATGGATAAGAACGGCACAAACAAACCAGTCCATCCCAGAGTTGGTGGTGACTATGCAAAAGCTTGCCCTGAATCACAAGGTATAGCAACAGTGTCTTCAGTCTGGAGAATTCAAATTGTTACGTTTCTGTGCAATCAGATAACACAGTGTACCAGACTTTATTCAAGTTTAACTTGCAAGTAGCTTATTTTGAGCCCTGCTACCCTTATTTGGGAGGTAATTTATACAGCTAACTTTTTGTCAGAATGTGAAATTTTTCCACAAAATTCTTCCACAAAAAGTCTTCTTACTGTCAGATTAAACTATTTCACGCGCAATAGTAACACCACTATTACTTATCAATACAAATTTCTTATTTTGCCATTATTATTATTTGCAAGACAGTTAGGCTTGCAAGCTTTAACCACGTTTTGCCGGGGACTCCGGAATCGGAGATGCATGGTTTATATGCGTGGCCGGGGTCTCCAACCTCGGACAAAGGAAACAGGGCCCTGTAACAAAAGACCGTACTCCGAACAAACGACCAGGCTGCTGGGCATTACGGACATTTTTCACTCTCAAAAGTGGTGATAATCCAGCCTTGTTTTGAAACCGTATACCAGGGTTTTGGGCATTGAGAGCGAGCGGATTACCATCGGGGACAAAAGTGTTCCACCGCAGCAATGAGCCACACAGCACTGCTGCACGCTAATCTGGCCCCTATTGAAAAGCGGTCAGCAGTGCACTGAGCCAGGTTTGTGAACAAAAGAAAGTTACATAACACCGCACAATCTGGGCTCTGTTTACAAGGCTGCTGGCCTGGCTGAAATACTCGGGCGTCATTGAAGGTCACCTGTCAACTTAGAGTAGTGCCTAAAGATTACTTGGTGCCGCTATAAACGACCGTTAAATGAAATGATGAATTTTTGAAGGATTTTGAAAACGGAAAAAATGATAGTCATGCCGGCCCAGCATCATCAACATTGAAAAATGCCCAGGCATGAAGTGGTTAAGTATCTGGAAAATAGAAATCAGCATCAAAAATGCAATTTGGGGGTTTTGTTTGTTGTTTTTTTTGGATTGAATGTTTGCATAATTATTCCTCACCAGAGGATTGTTGTTAAACATGTAACCCACCTCCAATCTTCTTTCTTCGGCCACTCGCTGTCGTTCTGCCAACATCTCTGCTGTCACCTTGGGCTCGCTCCCTTCCAACAGTTTCAACTTAAAAAATAACAATGAAGAGACTGGTAGAATACAACATCAAGGGCAGTTATGAGTGTGAGAAAACCTGGTCTACATTTTGTGACGATCTTCAGCTCAATGCAATTTTAACCTACAGTATGTATTTTCATGGAAGCTATAATTAAGTACAACCATAGTAGCTCTATGGTACAACGCACAGCTAAGTCAACAACTGAGCTAGAAGTTGCTTTAAATGGTAATCAGACCAGTACACATCTCTGAGTGAGCAAGCAGAGTCAGTACGTCTCCATTTTAAAATATGCTTAAGGTCACAAATCTAATTTCCTGCCATGAAGCGCATGTAGCATCACAAAATTACTTATCTAAAATTGATCTGAACAGTTATTAACACTATATAAAAGACAGGTCAAAGCACTAATCAAGATTTTCTAAAGTAAAAAGTATACTATCTAGTCAAACATTTTTTAAATCCAAGCTTTAAAAAATAATTGATATCAACGAAAATGATTTGTAATTTCAGCTGACTTTGCCAAGCAGTACCAATTTGAACAAAAAGTTATTTCGAGGATGATTCCATCCTTAATTTTATGAATTTATTCAATTTTATAAGGCAGTTTAGCTGGTCTGAAAGCATCTTTCTATTTAATTTACAATATATGCACTATTATTCCATTGATATGATTCTCAATAATTAATGAAGGACCAACTGTAAAATTTTCATTTTCAAATTGGGGAGCATTTTTTCCTGTTTTACTGCAGTGTGGAATAAAATCATTCTTGAAGGACAAGCAACGATCAAGGCAAAGTCAATGAACGGCAATGGATTGACAACCAGATTGCACGACTTCAATCCACTCAAAATTGATAATATTCGGGCTACGGGTGCATTATTTATGAGTTCAAAGTCCCAAAATCAATGTCAGTAAATACACAGAATCTCAGAATAACAGATGCATTGCAGACCACACGTGCAATTTTTCAAATGGCCATACATGTACCTGTAACCGTTTTGGAGGGTGCTGTTTAACTATGCTCTGTCCCCTGTTTTCTCCCATCACAACTTCAAAGGCAACTGGCGTCGGTACTGCAGGTCAAAAATAACGTGATCATGAATTAAGCTGATGACGTACATGACGGAGGCAAAACAACACACACAAAAGCAGATGGTTCATAACAGCACTGTTGGTTGGGAGCCACATCTTTGCTAAACAACTTGAACATTCCGAGCCCACAGTATTTTCAGTGAAAGTACCCTGCCATTAGCCCTGGTTGGACGTCATCTACATTGCATTGTGATTAACGTCCAGAGTATAAAGATCCTCCTACACATACAATGCAAAATTTTGTGCAACATTGTTTTCTCACATTTTTACCTGGCGAAGACAGCTCAAATGTCATTCACAAGTGCCTTGTATCCCGAATTCCATAAATGCCGTGTTGAAATTACTAAATACGCCTGCGGACGTGTTTTGCAGTAAATTTTGCGAAACTCCACGCTTTCCGTCGTGATTTGTGAATGACCTACATTCATCTAGTAGTACGCATTTGCACATGTGCAAAATGGCCTCCAAGTTCGTCCCACATTCTGTCAGTTTATGTTGTCTGGAGCTACATGTAGGTCTAGGTCTTCGCTGCATTGGAAATGTGTGGAGACGGCAGACCTAGCCATAGCTTTGGAAGCCCGTTTTGGACACAGCCTCATCTGTAACTTCTTAACGCCCACATACAGCTCTTCCAGACATGCGTAAGGGGTGGTCGGTTACCATGCATTTTGCGCATGTGCAAGTACACATACTAGGCAAACGTATATCATTAACGAATCAAAACAGAAAGCATGGAGTTTCAACAAGTTTCCTGCAAAATACATGTATGTATGTTATTTAGTAATTTCAACAAAGCATTTACGGAATTCGGGATACAAGGCACTTGTGAACGAAATTTGAGCTGTCTTTGAAGGTACAAATGTGAGAAAAACCGTTGCAAAAATTTTGCATTGTAGGAGGACTTTTATACCCGGGATGTCAGTCATAGTGCAAATGAAGACAATGTCCAACCTGGGCTACCTGCTATGTCCAAGCATACTGAATGAATCAAATTTGAACAACGCTCAATTTTCTTGTCCTTGATTGTGCACCTCTTGAGACTCTGACAGCAAAATACAGGGAAAAGGTCCACTTGTATAACACTAAAAATGTCAAAAAGGTAGCTTTTTATGGAAAAAAATCTTCTTGTTGACACATTCTTAACACATTAACTCACTTTAACTGGGTGGCATGAGAAACTATACTAAATTGGTGATGTAAGTCTGATAAAAACAAATAACAAATCATTAAATCTTTACCATAGTTTATATCTTATCTAAACTTTACTACATGGGATGTCTAAATTAGGCAACAACTGACTATGTTCTTCACTTTATCACAACCTAATTTTTTTTAATTCCTAGACTTATATTTTGAACAGGTGCATGTATAACCTACATGTATAATTTTGAGGCCCTGTGATATTTCAAATTAGCTTGACAACAATGAAATATTTTAACTCAAATCATCTCAAAACAATAAACCCGACAGCTCACATCTGTACGTGTTCTCCCTCCTGCTTGAAAACTACTTTTGCTTTGGTTTATAAAACCAGACTCTGTCAAAACAGAGTAAAAACAAAATTAAAAACTACATGTATATCTTCTTTAGATTTCGTCTCTTTTTCATGAATGCAGCTCCAAGACAGACAGACAGACAGACTAATCATAGGTCCTTTTATAGATATACTAGTATGAACTGATTTTTCAAGGCTAGAATGGCATGCAAAAATGTAATAATTATGGAAGTATGTACTGTACGTGTAGCTGGTAAAATAGCTGCTTATTTGTGCAGCTCGCCTCAAGAGGCAGAATCACCTGCTTCAATATCCTGTCAATTTCCCTCTGACGGTTCTCTGAAAACGAGACCAAAAATTGGCATCTCCAATGGATACCTCTTAATGTGTGTTCATTGTAAACAGATGAATCCTCTCTACAACAAAACACATTGGCAAGCCCTATCAGTGTAAATGTCATGAATGAATCTACAAAGGAATCCGGGGCCCTGACACATTCTCATTTACATTGTCGCTGTTTGCGCTCAGTGTTTTGTAATAATGAGGCTTGACTACCGATGAATGAAACACAACTGGAATGCTATTTGTTCAAAATACTGATGACATGGGTTTGGTCCAGGGATGATTCTGTTTGCTTGTGGTTAAACAAACAGTGGACTTTGGTGGCAGTGTGTAAATTTTCAGTTCTTCCCCCTGCTGCTGACAAAAATGTCAACACAATCTTTGGCTGGGTTGACAAAGGAAAATAAATGGTTTTACCATGGGACAGATATAACCTTACCAAGGGAAAGATGACAGCTTTTCATAGTTTTTATGGCTAAGAAAATGTTTTTGAAAAGTTAGGGACTACATGATGTCGAGGTTAAAAAATTTAATTGTATAAATGTTGATGACTTATCCAGAGAATGTTTGAGAAAAGTCCTTTGTTGAACCTGACACTATATAGCTCTAGATACATATGACCCGCATTTACCCACAGTAGCTCTTCCGAGGGAAAAGAAAAGATTTCGGGGAAAGAAAGGGGCTACAGACCCTCAAAACAGGGGAATGAAATCCTACATGTATGTCTTTTTCCCAAATACAGTACTCCCAAACTGCATCAATTTATCACAAGCAAGGCTATCAGTTTATGTCATATAAAAATTATGTATCAACACCAGCCCAGACAATCTAAAGCGAAGAATTTAGTCCTGGCATCATTTAAACACAAAGCACACTATTTCAGGCACCCAATATTGTTATGCATTGTGCAATAAAACAGGAGCCCCCCATTCAGTTCAAGTCAAATTTGTATGCCCAATTTCCAAATGCTGATGAAAGCCCTGTCAACAAAGTCAACAACTTTGTCTGCTGCCACCGATTGCTGACAAGCACGTACCACCGCATGCATTTTTATCTCGTAATAGAATGCAAGCAATCCCAAGGCACTAAACAAAACTTGTACAGGGAGACAGACCATGGACACAAATCCTTGAAAATTTTGCCTTGTTTTGTCTGGTATTGAGTTCTTTTGTCCCACAAAATGCTGTCTACTAAATGCCAAAATACAGGTCAAGGATAAACTAGTTTTTGCTTTCTGTGTGCGGGAGTTGCATTCAGTAGTTGCCCACACGTTGTACTTTTCTAAACAAAAAATTCTGTAACTACTTTTTACAAGCATGTAGTTTCAAGGAGGCAACAAAAACAGAGTCCTCTTATTGCCTACTATTCGTACAGATGGCCAAAGCTTGTAAAAAGAACATCCTTGGTTGATGTCAAGTTTAACCTCAAAATGCACATTTCCCCTACTGGGTGTAGTTTTGAGTTGCTCAACAAATCATTTTCAAGAAAGTTACCCAGTGCATAAGCCTGCGAATTCCAAAACAAAGTTCATTTAGATGACGTAAGTGGTGATGAACTAATCACAATTCACTAACCAATCATGTTGAGTTCATCATGACTCAACTTATAACTTAACAAGGTTTACATGATAAAGGTAAAACCTTAGTTTTGGGAAGTAATGAAAAGCTTGTGTGACTAGGAGAGAGCTTTAGGATTTTCTGCCTGCTTCTGACAAACAAAAGGTGAAAACTTTTTCATAATTGTGGGTACAGCCAATTTAACAACTGTTTAATGACTAAGACTATTGTAATATTACTGAATAGGAACAACCATTGTAAAAACTGTGATTGTCCTTGTCCAAGATGTTTAATAAACTACAATGTGCACACGCAGCTGAGCAACTTTTCATGAATTGCGCTACTAATTTGTTTACGTGCGGTACAAAGTGACACCATGTTTATTAAAATCGGCTGTGGGTATCTTTCAAACCTACCAGCTCTCTGTCTGGAATCTGCTCCATCACCCCTACTCTGATCCCCCTGGCCTGCTGACTGCAATGAAGCCTGTCTTAAGCCCCTTCTGCCGTCACTGGTCTTGGCACTGTCTATCCCACTGTCCCTGCAAGTGCTCCGACTGTCCGCCCTCTGCCCGGCATTGTCCCCACCCAGGGACTGGCTGTCAACGTCACGGGGCTTGGGCTCACTCTGTGTTATCAGAACCTGTTTCCGTAGTGATGTGGATGAGCTGCCCTTTTTCGGTTTGTCACTTGCCGAGCCGAGACTTGAGGTGGATGCACTCTGCGAACTCCCACAACCCATGCTCTTTATCAGCTCTGAGGTGAAGGATTTCTTGTCTTTGGCAGGTGATAAACTAGTGGCAGGGATTATAAATGCTATCACATCAGAGTGCGGGCAAAAACCTGGCTGTTTAAAAGAGCTCCTACAAAATCAACTGTGATGCATACGCCTCACATACAGCTCCCAGACCTATTGGCAACAGGGCAAAAGAAAATGATTATTTAAGCAGAACAAGAACTTACAAAATCATGGGGGAATTTGTTTCATTGCAGTAAGGTAGCAACAAAACACTTGAATCTTATAATTAATAGAAGTTCCTTGTCTGGTGTATCTTGTGTGTGTGATTTTTCTCCTTTCTTGCTCTTACTAAAATGTCTTTAGAAATCCTCGCTATAGGATGAGATACATGTACGACAATGTATACCTTCAGGTGTTATTATTTGATCGACCTTCCGTTTTGCTAATTCTTCTGCAATTTTTCAAACAAATTGAAATCACTTCATGAAAAAAATAGGATTCCTTTCAAAAACTGCTTAAATTCAACCCACCCAATTTCAAGAAATGTGGGATGAACACAAAGACAGGCCTACTTGCATGTAGTTGAAAGACACACACAATGACATTGTAAAGACATTCCGGGGAAAGTACTTTAGTTTTATTGTAGATTATACTTTATATGAACACTAGCATACAAAAGGAAAGAACCAATATCAAGAAGGAAACAACATATTGGTTAAAAAAAATAAATAAACAGCCGAGATGGTAGGCCTAGGTCAAATTCTCAAAAGAAACCGGCTTGTGTGGTCAACCTCAAGTAAGTTTTGTGGGAACTTGGCAGAACTGTGGAATAGGAAGGTGGCCCGGCTCAACTCCATGCCATGGGAGGAGGAAAGGGGTTAAAATTAGTTCGAGAAAAATACTTGAGTTCTCTCCATTTTATGACATTAAATTCTAAAACAAAAGGTCATGACACAACTCGGGAAAGGAGATCCCGACAACTTAAGTAGTTTGTTGCCACTGCAAGCAGGCGACGCAGCAATAAACCACCACCGTCGACTGTGGCGCCGTACTTACGTCAGCAACAGTGACACTGTCCGAGCTAGTTACTTACATATTTGTAAATGCTGGTGACTGTAGTCAAATCGTCATCCATGTAAGCCCCTTCCTCGAAGGAAACGCAGCTACAAATGTGAAAAACAGGCTGAAAATGTTATCTTTACATGTGATGCACGCGAATGCTTCCAAGTTTCATGGACACATTGCCCTTGAACGGCTTTGAAGCGCTAGCTATGAAGCACCATAATTGTATCAACGTACTGCGTACACTTTCTCGACAAAGTTGTAAATGGTATAGTCTGGAAACTGGGAAGGAAATCAATAAGCTAAAGGGGAAATAAAACGTTGAATTGTTTATTGGGAAAAAACAGTATCTTTTAGCGTTGAATTTCAGAGTAATTTTAAAAATGGCTACGGAATATTTAAAATAGGAGTTTTAAAGATCTAGGATAAAGACATCGTTAAATGTAATAGTGCAAATGTAAAAAAAATTTTCAAACACCCCCGTATAAGCATGGTGTGCGCCTAAATATCTGTCAATGGAGTCACCGGTACCTGTTTCATGGCAACGTGTAAACTATGCACTTTGCAGGACCGCGCGGTACTGTGTAGACAGACCCCCAGCTGTGCTCACTACATTGCTGCATTTCGGCTCCTCGCAAAATTGACGCGTGACAAATTGAAAAAGAAATTACTTGTATATCTTAATTGAAGATACTCTTGTCACCTGTCGCTGCATCTGTCGCCGTCCCGTCTGTCGTTATTATAAGCTTCTTCACAAGGAAAAAAAACTCATTTCAAGGGTTGGTAATTGTTAGCAAACCGCCTTTTATGATGTCCATCAACAACTGACAGAACTCCGAAGACATTGAAGTGGATAAAATAAGCTCTATTAAAAGATATTAAAGTTGAAAAAATGTATGCGAGAACAACCACCCCAATGGAGACAAACAGCTGCATCCTGCCGCAACTTTGTCCATTCTGTCTGGTCATTCCGTGTGCTCCGAGTAGATGAACCTTGTCGATATACTTTAAAGGGTTACAGCAATGCAGTTTCAATGTAACACTTTTAAAACTATTTAAAGACCTTTTGTCACTATTAGCCTCATTTTCTGTTTCACTCATTCAAAGTGAACGACGGTGCCTTTTAGGCTTTAATGCTAATGAGATTCCTATATTTATGACAAAGCTGTGGTGTCAGTCCAAGAAGAAAACCTTTATGTTTGCACACACTGGCCTTATTTTTCTTTTCCTTGGCGAGTAATCGTTGTCTAACTACACAGCAATTAGCCAGCTAAGAGAGAATCTTTTTCTTAGTACTGGTTTCTATATATGCGTTGAAATTCTGGGTTCACAATTAAAATCTGTGTACTGAGCAATGGCTTCCAGAGCACTTTTTCGGGGAGGGGAATTTCTTCAGGGCAAACAAGTACTGCTACACAGTACCGCAAGACATCGGTTCCAACATCACCAACATGTACAAATGGCATCCCATCCCCACACCCCAGTCTAATGGGTATATACCCGGAACAGGTTCCCGGCCTATGGGTCTATACCCTTGGCAACCTTCCCCAAGCTCCCCTCCTACACACTGGCATACCTCACTGATCTGCTAGCATCCTATGTTCTGCAATCTGTCAAAAAACAGTGCGTGAGGTATTAATTCGGCACTGAGGGCGCTATTCAATATTGGAAGGGTTGCCTTAATTTTTCTTACAGAAACCTTGTTGTACATATTTATGCTCTTTGTTGGTGTATCCTTCTTGGGTTAAAGAGTATTGAAATTTACACAAATGTGATTGGGTAAAAGGTGGCCCCCATTCTACTCGGTTTATTTCTTAGGGTAAAGCATTTTTGCTCTACCTCTAAAGTAACGAAAAGCGCTGTCCCAAACACAGCTTGATTCTCAGTTCTCAAGCTTGTGTGTCCAATTATTTTATGCAGGTGATACATTTCAGTTGTTTTAAAAAGACTTTTAGCGTATCCCTTCGGAGTTTCCTGAAAAAAATAAAATGGACATGGGTGACAGGTTCTGTCGAAACTTGACCAAATATTCAGGAGTATGAACTTTTGAAATTATAGGCAAGAATCGCAATTACTGCCCCCGCCACATTTCCAACCGTGAAACTGAAAAGCCTGCACTCAAGGGAGGAATATTTGGCCTCCCTCGACCTCTATATCAAGGTACTAGTTCGTGAGTGTAGTGTAATGTAGTTCATGACACAAAGCATTGAACTGAAAAACAAAAACAGTAACGGTGAGATTCGGACTACTGTGCACCACATCGCTCATCAACAAGGTTAACAATTTGGAAATCTTGTGAAATGACGTTCTTTGTACGTTTGGGAAACTATTGTAAAGTCCTAAATCCATGCAGACGCGACGCATAACCATTTTCAACTCATAATCGTGGTCAAGTATAAAGTGGGTTTGACTTTTACGGATGAACCATTTCAAACAGTCACTTTAGAAAAATCTGAAGATAAGTTTTGACCTAGGATCTGGAGGACCATGGTCCTCCAGGTTCAGAAGCACAAATATTAATTGTTTTTTCTTGAATAAACTGCGCTAGCTGCGTCCTCCTAGCACTTTTGACCTTTCACCTTTGATCCAGTCAAAAATACCCAATTCAGGTCCACCTAAAAAAATTCTGTTAATCATTCGGTCCACCTCTTGATAAGGGGGGGCGCCAAATTTGTGTGACTTCTTCCCGCTGTGCGATAGCAGCCATCACGCCTGTTAATTAAAAATAAAGCTAGTGCATTTTCTCCAGTCTTAAAGAATCTGTCCCCTTTTTACAATGAAATAACCGGAAGAATTATTCTCTGCTAACGAAAATCATAACACTTTCCCCCCAAAAATTTCTATATACTTGAAGTTCATTTAATTCGTTTCTGACGATAGCCAATATTGGGTGCCGTTTTTTTCCTCCATATCCCGCAGGAAGAATTTTTGTATCGAATGCGAGACAACTTGCAACTTAGTTCAATTTTTTCCTGGAGGTGCCATGCCAGTCTTAAGTTTGTTCTACGGAGTCCACAGGTCGTGCGAGTGGTCTCCCTTGGATGAAAGGTTTTTCTGCCGTTTTCTGCCTGGAGATTTCATGGAAGATTTTCTACTGAGATGTGGCTCCAGGCATTGAGAAAAATCCTCTTTGAACGAATAATTTGCTCATCAGACTCTGACATCGAGGGCCTTCTGCGCACGCCCTCTTGTGGTCTCAACATTGACCTCCTTTGATAACGGAGTCTTGACACGGGTTTCTTGTTCTCGTGCTCGAACGGCGGGAACACGACTCAAGAACACTGTTCCCAAAACAGGATCCCACACCACTTCCTCGTCGGGGTTTTCAAAGGAACACATGGCAGCACTCGGGAGATTTTGATTTTTGAACAGCCGCAAAAAATAGCGAGATGGCTCACAAAGCCGGAGACAATAACAAATTTTACAAAATTAACAATAATCATTTTCCATAGCAAAGAAATGAATGTTCCTTTTTAAACAGAAAAGAATTCAGCCCAGATTTCCAAAGTTTACTCTGAAAGAACGTACATGGATACCACCATGATGAATGATACAACCCGCAATAACCGGTTGACGTTCCCGGTGTTCGAGCGGCCGATTAACGAACACAATCGAGTGATTTGTGAACAAACGAGAAAAGTCGACTAATGGTGGCGCTAGACGTTCACCGTACAATTTCGGCAAATTAAAATGTCAACATCGATATACTCGCGCGCTGCGCAGTGCAGTAGTTTAGCAGCAAGCCGTTTTCGCAGGCCGTACATGTATCTCTGTGGTAGTGCAAGCTTCACGCATACCACATTCTCCAAATATTTGACATTTTCTTCGAGAAGGATCATATACAGTATTTAAGTGCAGCCTCCATTACCGGTGCAAATGTCTAGGTCGGCCGTCTGCGTCATTTTGTCCATGTAACTTTTAACAGAAAGCGTAGTCCGGTCAGCCTTGTTTTCCGTTTGTGCATGCAGCCAGTACAGTTGATCAGCGATGGGAAGTTAAGGCGTAAGATACTGTGCATGTGGGGCTAAGGAATTCATAACTGTCAGCGGTGACTCCAAGATTCACAGTGATTGATATAACCAGTGCCGTGTGATGGCAAAATGGCTTCTGTTGCTGCAGCAGATGTAGAAGACGAGGTTTCTTTCCTGAGAACAGTAAGTCTTAAAATGGAAATTTCTCTGACACGTAGAACTTGCCTGCCTTTCAAGTTACGGTACATGTTCAAGTTCAAGGCTATACATGTAGGAAAGTGCTAAGGCCCAGTGTCATGCAGCCTGAGTGAGGTATCACTATGAACAGGGCCCATTTTCATGGTGCTGGTTACCGTTAAGCAAATTTTTTTGTAAATCATAGCACAGGCCTAAGCATGCCAAGTGCAGGCCTATTTCTCAGTAAACATTTCATGGTTGCTGTGCATAGCACAAAAATTGTATGGGCATGTATGGAGTTTTCTATTGTTACATGTACGTCACAAAGTTAATGAAATGAAGCAAATGTTTCCTTCAAGATGTGCATGCCTTTTGCTGTGCTTACTGCTTACGGTCTTGGAGAAATATGCTGAGACTTTGTTGGCAGAAAGTGTTGTGCTTAGCAGTGCCATAAAATTGGACCCTGATCCTCTTTGCTGTTAGTTTTACTACAGTGGAGTCCCCTGCTGTAGCGCACTTGATGTATTCCTTGACATTGCTCTTGCAGTGTTGCCATGATGTGTACTCTTCGTTGAAAAACTTCAAATTCATTTGATTAGATACTGGTATCACTTAACCATGTCTGTTAAAAAAGGTGATTCGTAAGGTCCACGTTACTCAAACTACCCAACTACAGATATGGAAGAAAACTATTTTCTTACTCTAAAATAAAGAGCGTTTTAAAAAAAGGGCATTTTAAAGAGAGGCCATTTTGTACATATCCAAAAAAAGCAGGTACATGGACACTGTATGTGATCTTAATATTGAGAGCTTAATGAAAGTCTCTTTTTGTGTGAAGTTTGAGTTAAAAATAGTGAGACAATAGAGGCCAAACATCAAAGTGCACCACCTTAGGGTATATCAACAATGTACTGGTTAATTTTTCACAGTGAACGTAGCGAGAGTTGGGACTTGGCAACTACAGTATATGGTTACGGACATTATACTTGTTGGAAAAACGTTTTTGAACTGTCATACCTGTGTATCAGTGTGATTGCAAACTTTTGATGTTAAAGCTTGCACCACAAGCATATTTTTTGAATGAGGGTATTTTTGTGGTTTCATTTACATACATATTTGATGTTAATTAATGTGAACTTAAACTTGCGACATAATGTAGGTCCATGGGCATGTTCTACTGGTATATTTTGACTTGAGTCCATAGTTTACATGATTGGTTAATATGCATGTTTTGCTTGATCGTACGCCCAATTTGTTGATAATTTCGCAATCAGCCGGTTGCCTTTTGTTTTTAAAGGGCCCATTGAAATGGTTGTTATTTTAATACGTTTAATTGAAAAATAAAGATTGGAAAATCCTGCATAACTTTCCAACTGAAAGGAAATTTAGATGAATTTGGACATTGAAAATCAGGCTGACCAGAGCCAATGGTCAGGGCTGATAGCGAGCTCCAAACTGCAAGAGGTATTTCAAGCTACAGTGTTTTCTTCCAACATGTGAGACTCATTTGGGCTTAAATTTAAATGATTGCTGAAGTCAGACGCTGCTCCCCTGATCTTTGGGAAATCAAAGACAGCCCATGAACAAAGATGGAGAGGAACTTTATGAAACACAAATGACAAAGGGTACGAAATGCTTCCAAATCGGCCTGGGCTATTAATTAACATTTTGTCAACGGAGGTCTTCCTGGACCATTTACAATGTACATGTAATTTACGATAGTGAAAGATTGTTTGAATAAGTAAAGTTGGCTGTTCATTCAGAATTGACCAATTGTGTGTGAGCGATTGGATGATCTTCCATACAATGTATCGCCCAATCATGCCCAACATCCATATTACATTGCAATTATGTAAGTAAGGTTCTTGAAAGAATCTTATATTGAGACAGAAGATTTTTGGGAATGACAATTTTTTGGAGGAGTCCTCTCTGGCAGGAACAAAAAAGAGCGTGTTCTGAAATGAAAATGACGTACTTACCCACAACACTCACTACATAGGCGCGCAAGTTTATGTGCATTTGATGTAGAGCACGCAGCTGAGTACATGCAACGATTTTAATTTGGAATGTATGGTCTTTGTGTGCACACTGAACACGGGCAAGAACCCGGTTGGAAAACTTAGTACCATCTGTCTTTCTTTCACTGTTAGGGGTGCACTTCAGCTCAGGGTGGATAGAGTTTTTTTCCCCTGACATGCATCGTCAGAATTCAAAACTTCAAAATTGCATGTGACTCCTGCACAGGAGCTCTGTGAAGTGCAGTGACATCATTCAAAAGTGTTCCTACATGTACATGTACCGGTCCTTCTGAAGACAACCGAGGGGGCTGTAGCTGTGATGTCATTCAGTGAAGACACTGTTTAGCTCATACCGGTACAGTGAAGGGGCTTCTGTTCAAACCCCAAATTTGCTCACTGAAACTTTTCTGAAAAAGTGTTACTTGTTGACATGTACAGGTGTACGTGTAGCCATCCACTGAAAAAAATGGGATTTAGAATTTGGTCAAATATTAACAAAATTTTCCAGCAATTTTTGTTATGCACAAATCACTGCAGCTTTTACATGTAGGTCTTTTCCCTGGAATGACACGGCCTTGCTCATATCTAACGCCACATTAACAAATGAAATAAAGAGGCACCAAAATAGTAAAATACAAGCAAAAATTAAAAATAAAGTTGAGATTGAAAAGGGAAAATGCATTTTCAAGGGTTGATGTGAAAAAAAATTCTATTGCATTGACCCTTTTAATATCTGTTCTGTCTGGCTGTATTGTCTGCAGTTGTATGCATAAGTATGGCCACATGAACATGTACTATTAATTACACTGAAAATATTGATTTTCCCCTGCTTAAATGTCAGAACCATGGGCTGAAGTTCACAACCAGACTCACATTGTGTTCACGTGTCAGTGCCTCATGGGACATTTAAGTAATGACCTGGTACAAGTTGTACATGTGTACATGTGGCACTGTTGCATTAAGTGCTGAACCAGAGACCCTCCTCCCAAGCTCTAAGCCCCTCCCCTTTCTTCCCCAGTGTTTATTTGATTTATATCAAGGAACTGGAGAATAGACAAGACGTAATGCGTAATTCACTATAGAACAAAATGATTTGTAGACTGTTGTGTTAGTGTAGTTTCTGAAATTTGGACCATTAGGAAAGCTTGCTATTTTATTGCTTTGTCAATTACACATGATGAATTACACATGTTCATGCACATGTATGTGTAACCTTGATGTAATTTGCTAGGAGTATACATGTACAGTACTTGAATACACATAATGCACGTGTATGGTGAACTTGACAACATATCAAATTAACCAAGAATTTAAAAATTTATAATAAAAGATTTTTGTTTCCTGTGCAGAACTTGCAGTTTATAGTTTTTAGATTTTTTAGCCTCATGCAGGAGCACACACTGAGTCAAATTGCCTTTTGGTGTCTGTGTTTAAATACAAATCATACCGTAAATGAAGGGTAATGTAATGAATCCTTCTTTATTCATGCCCAGTTGGATATTCCTGTACATGTACCGGTACATGAACCCTCAAATACATACATACTGTAGTTCAAGTTTGTTCTTGAGAAAATTTGGTATCTTGTTCATGTATACAAAATACATACCGGTACATCTATCAGTGTGGCAAAGTTTACAAGTTTTATTCTGTACTTTTCAGATATGTATGTACATGTAAATGTTATTTTTTTTAAGAGAGTAAGCACATGTTCCGGTATGATAATAATAAATAAATATGTAAAATATTGATTTGTTACATGTACATGTAGTTACAGTGTACCTGTACATATATATTACATGTACATGTACATTGTAATATACTGTACATGTACAGTATGTGCAGGTACTGGTCTGCATTGCATTTAAACATTTCATAACTGATAACACGCAGTTGCTTCATGGCTTTTTGCTGAGTGATGGCCTGTGAATTCAAGACCAATTTTGACCACGGACAAAATAACTTGAAGCCTTTTTCTTGTTACATTTATGTTGACAAGTTTGTTGAGTTTGTCTCCTGGTACTTTGTGCATCATCAAGCATACATGTACATGTACTTTGTCAGGTACAAGGCAAGATGGCTGTTGTATTTGAACACGTGGAGGCATCTTTTGCCCAACTGTGTACATGCACATGTATACGTGTATATTATGTGCACGTACTGTACAGTGGAGTGCGTCGCTAGCCATATTGTTTGCACTATTTGTCCAAATAAAACAACTTCCAAGTCTATGTGTAGCTGCACCTCTGTCATCTGAGCAATTTTTTTCCTGCTTCGTATTTCTTTTAATTCGGTCAAATTGTGCTGGCTGGGAATCAACTACCAGTACATGTTCATGACTTTATGCTCTAGAAACTTTGCTATTTTTAGTTTATTTTTTTGACCTTGAGACAGAAACTGTTCTGAATAGCATGTTCTACAAAAACTTGTGGAAGAAACCTTAGTGTGGATGTTAAAGGGTCAGTTATTGTTTGCTGTAGAAACAGCACCCAACTACACAAAATGCCCCCAAATAAAAATACACTAGCAGAATAATTTCCAAATACCAGTTTGGATTCTTTGTGGCATTCCACAGTGCGGAGCATGAATAAATTTAAGAAGGGTTGTTGCAACAACTCTACCCCTCTACCCTCGGTTCCCTGGAATTTTGTTTCTAAATCCAATAAACTCGGACAGTGACATACATGTACAGTGTACTTGTACTTGTATAGCAATGTGAGTTTTCTGCCCAATCCAACACAATCCAACTGCGAGTTGCCAGTAACCCCAAACTTTTAAAATCATTTGCCTGTTCAATCCAACAAAAGCCAACTGTGCCTTATTTTCTGTTGCCTGTTGAATCCAACAGAATGTAATACACACTCGTACATGTTCATGTACTGTACATGTATGCCAACTGCGCACAGTTTTTGATTGCCTGCTCAATCCAACAGATTCTAGCAAATTTCACTGTTACTCAACTGCTACATTCAACATACATGTATTTGAACAAAAATAAGTGGAAGGAGTTTACTGCTTCATCCAGCGGGATATTGTTAGACTTGTATGATTCACTGAGGTTGTTGTTAGGAGGGTTTGGTCAAAAACATACATTGTGGTATGGTATAAATGCAGGGGGACAAAAATTCCAGATATTCTGTTCGAATGTAACCAAATTTTGTTGTGTTTTGTTGTGTGTGTTTAGGGAGATCAGCTGTGCCTTGTGTGTTCCAGCCAGAGCAAAAGTAAAGATGGTGCCTCGTCCCATGTCCTACTTGCAGGGGAGGGTTTCGGCAGCCGGAGATGCTTCCTTGAGGAAGCAAGCAACACGGTGAGTAGCTGGACATATCTTTCAGTCAGCCTCATTCTTGCCAAGTCTGTATACAGTGTACCGTACATGTACATCATGCTTTCATTAGGTTACCTCTGTTTCTGCAGTTGATGCTCTGTGTAATTCTGCCTAAAGATGGTATTGGCATTCATTTCTTAAGGCTTGATGTTATTAGTGCTATGCTCAAATCTCATTGTCCTAATGTTCAAGTTTTGACTTGAATTTACAAGAATTTTAGCCTTTGCTGACGGTCAAGATCAGTTTTAGAAATGTTGATCTGCAGTGCACCTACCCCTTAAATTTGAAAAATTCACAATCCATTGATTTGGAATTCAACAAAAAAGTGTGATTTCAAAACTGTTCAACTTTATTGAAACCAGCTCAAGTAGTTTATGAACACATTATGAAAATTATGTTGTTTTGAATTCACCTTGTGAAATCACTGGACTAGATCCAAACTTTGCAGTGTTTTCACAACTTGGAATGTCTTTGCAATCAATTTCTTTGCATGCAACTATGAAAATGCATGTTTGTTTATAGGTACATGTACATGTACATGGAGCTTAACCGTACCATACATGTTTGATTTGCTATTCCAAAGGGTACATATATTTGAATGCTTTTTCATGAGTAAAACCATCATGCCATTCTAGGCAAAGGAAATTTCAATGTTAAGATTGATTTATTCATGATAATGGACATTAGGATTAAACACCTGTGACGGTACGTTTGTAGCTCTGTGAACAAAGATATTGGCAAATTTGGGACACTGCTAGCAAACAGTGTACAAGTAGGGCTGAAATCATCAGTTGGTAGACCACCACTTTTGTGTACCGAAGGTTGCAGGTTCAAATCTGCTGAATTTCTTTGCTCAACCCACTATGCATGTATGAAAACAAAAGGTCAACCTTTCCGTAGTAATTTTGGGGTGGAAAAGGAAGTGACAGGTTTATGAAATACATGTACACCTGTATGGCACCGTCCATGTACCGTATGCACATGCATGGAGTACCTTGGAATGGTTAGCAACTTTGGACATCCCCTAATGCATCTTACAAATTAGCCTCACGTTTCACTTGATGGAAGAGAGGACCAATTTGGTGAAAATCACTCCAAATGGATGGCCTTTAGGGACAGAGATTGAGACGACAGGATGCACATGAGGTCCGATGTCTGTTTACCAATGATTCAGGAGTATCTTTAAATGTGAATGCATTTAAACTTATGTGAACGTTGAAATATGGGAGTTACATGTACCTGTAGGTCCATGTATGCCCCTCTAATTGCACTTACTGTTTTGTAATTGGTTTATGAGTTATGATCAGTGAACATTTGGTAACAATGTAACCAATTCCCCACTTATGCATGGACTTGCCTCTCAGTCTGAATATTTGTTGCTGTGCTTGTTGACAAGCAGAAATATTTCGTACTGCAAAAGATTGGTTGTGTCTATTAGGTTCTGTGGCAATCAGTAGTCGCACATGGTTGGAGATTTCAACTCAACCTCTTTACCCTCATAGTGTTGCAGCAATTGTTATCTTACCTCTTAATTTGTGTTAACTGGCTTGGACTCCTTCTCTGCACCTTCCTCTCATCCACCAATGCGCTGCTTCTTTTTTTTTTTCATTTCAGAGCATTCCTCCAGATTTGTCAATCTGCATGTTTGTTCTGGAGCAGGCCTTCTCCGTCCGAGCCCTTCAAGAAATGGTTATGTCGGACACTGTGGAAGCGGTAATATTTCTTTTGTCATAAAAATGACTTTTGTAGTATTGCTGCCCAAGGCACTGTGACAGTCATTATAAACCCCCCCGTTCATCGTGCAGTGAGACCAGTTTTGGCATATCGGGTCCATTCTCACAGGTGCCCATTTAATGCTCCTGGGCAGAGAGAGGCAAGGAGCCGTAAAGTGCTTACCCAAGGTCCAAGCATTCAACCAGCCGTTGGATTCGAACTCCCAACCCTTTGATTTGGAGTCACAAACTCTAACCACTTGGCCACATGCCCTGTCAGTCAGCCAGTCAGTAAGCAACAGTTTGACAGGGGTCTCCCCAAACTGTGTCTCTCTATAAATGTACTCTGCTGGAGCATGGTATTACATGTATGTCAGTGATTTCTTTTTTCATACTCGGGCCATCCTCGTCGGCACATTAGGTCTGCTGTCTCAAAGCTAGAAGCGTGGGATTGAGCGGAAAGGATGAAGAACCGGGTAAATTACAGTTTAAGGAGCGGGAAGAATGCCGGAGGCCATAGGATAAAAACACCGCTCTGTAGGCTGAAATCTGGCCCCAAAAGCCAGTGTACATGTACATTTACATGTAAAGAATGACCTACATGTACATGTAGGTTGAAATCATAAGCAAGGGCATGAGTTATTTTGGAAATTTTGGCATTTTAATTAGGATATTTGGCAAATGGGCAGTCCGCTGAAAAAAACACCTCATAAACAGAGATTTGTTTATCTTTAGAAGTATAAATGTGGCACTCAAATATTATGTCAAATTAAAGGGTATGATGAGACCTTTTGTGTGAGTGTTGTGTTAGTTCTGATGTGAATAAATGCCTTTTTTGGTCCAAAACCTGTTTTAGGGCATAACTAAAGATTTTTGGTGTCATTTTTGGTACTTGTACCTTGTTTTTGCATGGAAAATATGAATACTCTTGAGATGTTATGTTTTAAGACAGAAAAAGAAAACCTCATTTCAAACTAATTACAGTTTCAGACGTGTCTGCACACTGGTAAACAGAAGTCAGACATCCAAACAATAAATGTTATTGCAAGCCACAATCAAACGGAAAGGTACATGTACTTACCGTGAAGTTTATTTTAAGGTACTTGTACATGTATCTTAATTTCTGATGAAAGTAACAAATACAACAGGTCCAAACACATTACAGAGTTGTTAGATTTTAAAAGAAGGATGCATGGGACTGTTGAGCCAATTTTTACATTGATAACTTTGGACATGGAGGAAGGCCACAGGAGTTACAACTCTGGCACATCAAAGTGCTCAATGATCATTGCCGCCCGGTCAGACAAACAATAGTAAACATTCCAAAAGTGCCTGATTACTGCCTGCAGCTTAGCCGGACAAGTGGGGCAAGTAATGTCGTAACAATATTTGTGGTGTTTTCTTTGGAATTAACTACAACCTATCACAGTGACCAGGAAACAGAAAGAGAAATATATAACATTACATTTACTTTTGTCGTTTGGAATATTTTGTTAAGGATTTTGATGCCCTTTTCCATTATCCATGCATACCGGTATGTTTGTAATTTTATTTTGTCACTCAGTCTTTGTACGAGTTTGGCTAAGACTGGCCAACAACATGTTGAACACCACAGGACAGTTAAGTTCACGAAAACAAAATGCGTCGTTTCATCACAGGGAGTGATCATGAGATCTCATAAAATACCTTTTTGTCTAAATTCCGCAATAAAAATGATTCAAATAAAACTCAAAATCTTACAAACAGCTTGGCTATTTATTCCCAAAAGAAGTCCAGAAGAAAGCGTTCGATAAGGGCAACAACTGCACATGAACACTTCGAATACACAGCCTAATAAAAGCAACTGCGCAAGCACTAAATTTGATGTTTTTGTCAGATCATATCGAGCACCAATGATGGCATGAATATTCAACTTCCTATACTGCAGTACACAAAGTTTTAGGGATGCAGATTACCAACGAAAAATTGCGGCGACGATCATGGGGTACAAAGGGAGCTTATGGTTGCAAAACAGGTAGTGCGTAGCAAGCGTGTGTTGCGCTCTGGCTATGGACATACTGGGCATGCCAGAAAGTGGTAACTGGCCAGATGTTACAGCCCAGGTAGTTCAAACTCGTTCTGTGTCCTTCCTCCATGCTTTGGATGACCAATTTCCTTTCTAAATCATTGCAGTAGCAAGTAGTAGTACCTCTTATTCGAATTCACTTTATGTGTATGACTACAACTATGCACACTTTGAAAATGTGCAAAATATACATACATTTACGTCTTTAACCGCGGAATGCCCAAATAAACATACATGTAGGTAGTGATGGGTAGGGCTGTGCCGAATAACTGAATATTGGATAGATTATCGAATATAATTTTCTGAATTTGAATGTTTGAATGCAAAATTAATGAAAAGGAAGGGAACATTTTCTTTTGTTTTAAATGAGAAAAATTATAATTAATTTAAAAGGAAACAAAATTTTCAACTGGGCAAGAAGTACTGTATTGTTCATCTCTTACATCTTGCTAAATCGTGGCTGGAGATACATGTACTCCTAGATGTGAGAAGCTATTATATTGATTACAATGTACAATTGTGTACATTATTGCAACTGATTTTGTACATGTACACGTATATGATTTGTTGATCAAAAATTTTGCTGGTTGGTACGACGGAAATATCAGATCAAATTGAAGGTCGAATATTTGAATAGTGAATTATTGGAATTGACTCGGCCCTAGTGATGGGCTACCGGTGCATATGAGGACCGGTGATGGGGGTTGAGAAGTTCCGTTTGGGTCCAAGTTTGAACCACGCAAGAAGAGGTAGCATGTGATGGATGCAATAAAGTCTGGCAGGGCACACAACCCTCACAAGGCCACAGGAAGGACCTAGGACCTATAGAACTCTGCTTTCTTTGACAACTTGGTATAACTTGGTTACAGCGAACTCAGATTACTACTGAATGGTTGTTAATTTCAGTTTTATAAATAATGCAGACAGTCTACCCCTCCTGTTGGTTGAGAGCGTGGCTTGTGGGTGGTTTGTAATTAACAGTTGATAAAAGTACCACCTGGTTTGAAACACTCTCCTGGTTTCACTTGACATCTTGACTCCCATGCTGCGGACTTTAAAAACATTCATATCGACAACCATCATTGTCCTGTTGGCATGCTCAGTACAGTCCATGGGTCTGTGTTTGATTGAGTCCAAACTTCTCTCAACACCAGCTCAGCTGTGTTCCCAGGGGTGAGATTTGTCAGGATTTTTCCTGATTTCAGGATTTTTTGTCGGTATTTGCCCGATTTCAGTTTCCTTCAAGCAATCTGCTTTGAAATCTGGAAAAGCATGAATTAATACGGTACCATAAAGGAATTTTGAATGAAAATCGATGGATGGTAGAACAAAAGAAATTGGTTTATTAACCCTAACACTCCCAAATCCTCCAACTTTAATACGATTTTACATACACCCTTGGGGTTAGGGTTAAGGGATGCCTTTAGGCAAATATAAATGACCTCACGCTGCTGTGGGCCCTCAAAACCCTGATGATTATTTTGTGGATGTTTCATTTTCCTCCCATCTTACCCCGTGTTCTGCATATAATCACATGGTACCTACTACACGTGATAATTTCTGTAAGGAGATATTGTTCTATGCAATTAAAGGCATATTAGATACAGCTAAGGGCCTAGATGTTTCATGAGAAACAAAGTTGCGTTTGTGAACAGTTTTTTTGTTGCTTTTTCACCTGGCCTCAGTCCGTTATCCACCTATAGGCCCTAGACAGTTTTTAAATGTACTTTAAAACTTCCCCATCACACTTTTATTCCATTATTATATTTTTTTTTTCTGACTGTCATGAATGTTGTTAACTCGCAGTGTTAAGGTCATGACATTGTGGGACAAACCAGTAACAGCTGTGTCTGTTTAAATTAATTAGAATTGTTGTACTTACCTTTCTCGTAGGGTTGCCAAGCGGGACATCGTACCCTCCTTTATGGCCATGCAATTCTTCTTCGTCATAGCCTTAGTAATATGGTAAGTGCTCATGTATTGGGTCTCTCTTTGGTTTAATATTTGAATTAGAAATACTTGAAACGTTTGGATTGTTCAGTTTGATTAAAATGAACAATTGGAATCCGTATCGTTTGCTTCTGTTAATTTATTCATGGTTTTGTTTTTTTAAATCTGTGAAAAAATGAGAAAAAAATTTGTTCTCACAAACCTCTTTATGAAATCAACTTTGGAGATGAGAACCCCGCACAATGCATTGACCAGATTTACAGGGTCATGTATATACCCCAGCACAAAACCCCAAACCAAAAACATTGTAATTGCTATATGTTGCTAGGGCAATAATTTACAATGTGATAATGAAGTACGAACCACCTTGCCTAACTGCCAACAGCACCTTGGATCATTGTAAGCACAAGAACATACTACTCACACATTTGTATAAGAAACAATACATGTATGCAAGTGCGCACACTCGGTACGTGTAAGTTTATGTCAGCATTTCCTTTTTCTATGCATTCTAGCTGCCAGCGCGACCGTTTAATGTGATGCCATACTTGAAACCCTTGAAGTATTTGATCGAAAAGAGGACTTTTCTGCTAAAATATATGGTACCATTTTAAAGCATCTCATTTTTCACATCTTTTGATATCAGCCAGTTCTGTTTTACACCATTCCCTCCCTGATACTACATTTACAGATTTCTTTCCTCTTTTAATAACATGTACCGGTACGTTGTATCAGAACAGCCATTGGCAAGTTCATAGAATTTTTCATACTTTTTCCTGTTTGCTATGAGATCAGTTGACTTCTGTGACCTAAAAAGATCAACTGACTATTAATAATAATTGTGCCACATGTACCTGTTAAAATATCGTATCTCTAAATATCAATATTGTACAATATACACAATAGAAAAATGTACATAAGAAAATGAGAAGCTTCTGGTATTGTGCATGTCTATGAATTTACAAATGTAGTCGTGCACATGTTCACAATAATACACTGTAGTTTCAAATGACAGAATAAAAGTGCACATGTAACATTCGATTTGGTGCTGTTGAAATTCCTTAATGTTGTTGCTATTTTGCTATTTTTTGTGGCTGTTCAAAAATCAAAATCTCACGAGTTTTCTGTGTGTTCCTGTAAAACCCTGACAAGGAGGTGGTGTGTGATCCTGTTCCGGGAACAGTGTTCTTGGCTTGTGTTCCCACCATTTGAGAGCAAGAACAAAAAATCTACAGTATCAAGGACAGGCTGCCTGAACTTGACCATTCTGTAATGGGCTTTGAGCTGGGCCTAGAGAGGGTGTAGTTTTCCTACCTGTAGCAACGGAGGTTCGTTTGGTAGTAACTGTGCATTGCTGGTTCATGAGTGACTATGAAACGCAAGTGTTGCAGTCGCATTGCTACCAACGAAATGAACACTGCCGGCCAACATGGCACTTTTCAACCAATGAGGGGGTGCTTCTGCTCAACGCGGATACCCAACTTTGCATTTAATGTGCGAGTAGTCAGTTATTAAAGCAAGTGTTATATTGCTATCATCTCTACCATAGAGCAAAGAATTTTGTATGTATTCACTGTGCATGGTGTAAAGCCGGGCATTTTGCAAACAGTGGGATGCTGATTATCATCTACAGACAAAAAAAAAAATTGATATTTGCTAAACCTCCTGGCTAATGAAAGTGGGCCAGTAAAACTGCAACCAATTGGGCAGACCAACATGTATTGATCCAATCGGTTGGAAGAGCTTAATGAACAGAAACGCAACTTGGAAAAAAAAAATGTGAAGTCAGATCAAAATGAACATACATGTATGCATGACCCCCGTGTCAGTAAAGGCAAATGATGTTGGAGCAAATACTAGTAAATGTTTCTTAATTTAGAAAAGAATACCTCTGTGTATTCCTGTGAGTTCATGTTTACCAGAGCTTTTGTTGTTGTGCATGCCACATGCATTAGCACGCATGTACACAATATACACGTACATGTACATCGAAGTTGCATCCTGCAGAACCACTCACGTACCATCGAGGAAGACATGTAGAGACAGCATGTCTCAATTAAGACGTGTGTCTTGCCATTGCCTATGTGTACCGATAGCGTCAGCCCTGCCATACCCTACTGCCTGCATGCGGCCATTTGCACAGCCTCTGTGGCGACGGTGATCGTCTTGTGCTGGCACATGTACTCTGGTGGCGGTAACGTGATTCGTCCATTATTGACACACCGGGCGCTGGCCCGGACATTCCGTGAAATTGGAAATGCTGTATGCTAGGCTACCTGAGTAAATTGCCATTACTGTGGGAGAGGCAACAAATGATGCGTTAGGGAAGGACTTGGGAGTTGAGAGTCGAAAAGCTAAAAACGGATCAGGAACTGTTACTGGGCTAACCTGTATGATTGTATAGTACATATGTATACCTGCTAATATCCCATGTCCATGTCCAAATCCATGTACAAGTACATGTATGTTATCAATGTATATCAGGAGTACATGCACATGTAATAGCCAAAGAACTGTGCAACTATTGTACAAATGAAATACATTGTAAACTGGCCAATGATGGGTATGAAGCTTCCTCCATTACTGGATGGAATGCCTTAGTGTACAGTTGTATGCCTGGATCATACCTATGTGTAAACATCTACAACTGTATGAGCACTGGTGGTACATGTTTTTAGTGATAATTTTTGTTGTTAACGTTATACAAAAAAAACATGCCAACAATTGGAAGCCTAAGAAAAAATAGGGAAGAGTGGAAAGGGTATCACTCTTAAAACAAGAAGATAAAAAGAGAGGACCGAAGGAAGAGGGCATTTGGGGGGAGGGGAGGTAATGAGATGCAGACTGTAATTTGTTGGGTCTGTTTCATTCCCCATCCTTCTAAAAACGTAAAAAGCCCCAAACGTGGCCTAACCCCTCAGAAAAGCCATAAAAGATTACGTAAAAAAAATTGTTTTTTGGCCCACCCAAAAATAAATTGGACCTCCCTTCCTGAAAATTTAATTCTGGACCCACTCTTGTGAGGGGCAGATCCAGACCAAAAATTTTGGGAAAGGGGCTAAAACAAGTAAGCAGCTTCCCCGATGTACACATGTACATGTACCGGTACTTGTACTTCTGCATGAACTGATTGCACCAGTCACAATAAAGCGGCTCCCCAGAAACAATTTCGTGTTAAACAAAATGGTTCTGTCCATACAAAACAACCTCCATTTAAGACACTGAACATCTTCACTGTGAATGATTAAAGAAAAAAGTCCTCATCGTGTTTTTTTTTTTTTGGGTGGAGGGCATTGCCCATGTTGACCCATCTGCTCTTGACATTGTGTCTTCCCTTGGATCAGCTATTAGTACCATGGATGTACATGTACAGTACATGTATGTATGTCCATCTAGTTTCACCTGCATCAGATGTCAGTGGCTTCATTGACTGCTGTTTCACTCAAGACATCGCAGGGCAATTCCAGAAATAGTATCATTTCTATCCTGATGATTCACAAAAATGCTTCAGTTTGCAGTTGCCACTGGTAGTCCACAGATCACTTTCAATATAGATGCCACATCCCAATACAGGCTGTAACTGAATACTTCATGTTTTTTTTAATTGAGTTTGAATACTTGACGTGAAAAACGACAATTTTCCTAAAGATTTATAATGCCTTAAGCAGAGTTGCATGGAGGCTTATAAGTTCACACACAAAAATAAGAGGGTCTTTCATGAAATCTATCTGTGTGCATGTTACATGCACATGTTGGCTGAAGATGCAATTCTTGCATTTCATCCACACATAAACCTGGTACCGGCAGAAGCTGATTGTAGACTTAATTTTGTTTTGCTATCTTTACAGTACCTTGCCTGTCTGTCAACTGTCTCATCCACAGACAAGCTAGCCTTTGATGTGGGACTCCAGGAGTCATTGGAAGGTAGGCTCGTTCCAAAATGTTTAGTTGTAAATTTTATTGCTAAAATTTGTTACTTTTTTTCATTCTGTTTTACATACACACATGTGCATGTAGCTATGTACCGGTATATATATTTAGTTTTCAAATTCAAGTGCAACCATGCCCAAATTGAGAGTGAAATTTTACGAGACTTTCAAGATTTCGATAACAAATAGTGTACATATGTCCATGCGTATGTTTGTAGAGTAAGGATGTGCCCATATATATTGACCATGTACAATATCGTACATTATGTACATGTACCATACATATATAGTTCTGATGACATCACGCATCGTTTGCATATGTGTACACTTTCCGTTGGAGCATGGAGTCATCTTGCTCCCATAAGAAAGCACATACATAAATGTACATGTACATGTATACAAAACAAAACATACCGCCATCAGTATGTGTACAAATGTAGGCCTACATGTATGAATACATTGCAATACAATATTGAATAAAAAGAACGTTCATGTATGTTGAATTATTCAAATTCCATTAAAAAACTTGCCGTTCACAAAGTACACATCTTTTTGGTCAGTGATGCTATCATTTTCGCGCCCATTAGCTACTTGAGCTCGGTTTTTGGTACGAATGCAGACCACCTCAACTGTGGCATTTTCTTGACTTCGCTGGCAATTTAATTCCTTGAATGGACCAATCAGCGATTTGTGATGCAGAGATGGTGACTCGGAGGAGAAGTTCGAACCTGTTATAAATATTTGCATTACCTCAAAATTATCATTAACTGACTCGTGAGGGGAAGTTTCGATTGGTCTGGTATCCATGTCAACCCTAAAATGACGAGTTCCTCCTCTAATGCTAGTAGCAAATCAGCTAAAACAGTCTGTTTCCCTTTGCCAAGTATAAAGAAACAAATGGATAGTCATACAAATACACACACGTGCCCAATCCAATTATTGCAGGTCTCTCTCCGGGTTTCATTGTTAACATTCGAGCTGCATTTTTGCGATAAATTTTCAGCCAAGGGGAGAGAGTGCTGCGGCAGTGTAAAGGGCTTTATCGGTGCCAGGAACCCGTTGCGGTGGGTGTCCGCCTCCAGTTCCTAATTGACTATGTGTCACTCGCCGTTAATCAATCAATACATGTACATGTAGCTTGGATTGGATGGCATCAGGAGGGAACCTTCAGATCCAAAGGGCAAACTCGATAACTGTCTCAAGACCATGAGATAGCACAAGAGTGGGATAGACGATCCTGAACTGTTGGAATGCCGCAGAAAATAAAAAGAGTGGATGTACATGTACGCGTATGAACCAGTGTGACATTTGCCTTAGCTTCAGCAAGTCCAAGGTTGCAAGGCAGAGCATATTAGTCTTGTTGTGTTCACGTATGAATTTAATTTTTATTTTTCAATATAAATGAGTTCTTTGCTTAACAAAAGCATTAATGGAACATACTGATACCTTACGGAGGAGCGGGCATTTGTGTGGCTTAAAGAGTCTTTTGAACAGTTGTAATCCAATGGAGGGATTCTTATGTTCAGATGGTTCGCTGACTTAATGAAAAGTTGAATTTACCTTCAATTCCTTGCCCTTCAGCATTTGGAAAATCAGGCCATTGATCTGTCCGTCTTAGTTTAAATTTCCAACATCGAAGATTAAAGTCAGTGAATCAAACCACTGAAAAGAGTTAGGATACCGGTATGTACAGTGTACCGATATGTGGAGAATGGGTTATCTTGGTTTATTTCACATAATTACTATGCTGCACCTGCTTATAAAAGTTGTTAACATTTTGCTGGCTCATACATGTACCTGTACTGGTTCATGTACATGTATGTATGAATTCTCACGATTTTCACTTGACATGAATGTGTACATGTATGTATATGTGCACACTGGCTTGAATTCAACATTAGCATTCTTTTCACCCTTTTGCCGTCAAAGTGGTAAAGTGCTGGTCATAGTCAATTGAATGTACAATGTATGCAAGTGTATTCAACTTCTCAACTACATGTAGAATTGTATACATGTACAGTTGAACATGTACAGTACATGTATGTTCTCCTACCACTACATGTACAGTACATGTACCGGTACCTGCAACCGTGAACTCTTTTAGCTTTCAAGTACTCTCCGCCATGCACATTTGTAACCTGTATTCAGATGAGTCTTCACATACTGTACTCTGCCTGGTGATTTACATGTACCTGTGATGCGATCATGGGAACATAAAGTAAAAGATTTGATTCACGGGAAATTGGAGAAAGTGAAAACAGAAGGAGACTCTCATGTTGTTTTATGTCAAATTGATTGCTGCGCATCTGTTTAATTGGTCCTTCAAATGAAGGCAGTTTCTTTTCCAGTCGGGAGGGTGTGTGCCAATTATACATCTGACTGTCTTCCATCCTTCACCTGTTGGAGGATTGAGGACCGTTTGGGGTGAAATCAATCCATGTACCAACAGTAAGTACATTGCATTTAAAGTACAGAGCAGTTCAAGGCAGTAATTCATAGTTCATTAGATTTATTATTGTGAAATGCACAGCCTGTCACTCTAAGATGCAGGCTTATGCACACGATACATTTATCTGTCGGGCAATCAGACATAAAATATGTACATGTACCTGTACACTGTACATGTACATGTACGTTTTCCTTCGAACTTCATTTGTTTAAAAAATCTGCATTAACTGTTAATTGAAATTAAATTGAAACTGAACTGCATGTGTGCCTTACGTGCCCTGCCTTGCTGATTCCTGAGATGAGCAATCAAATTAAAAAAAAAGAATTCTCAACTGATCCTCATCGGACATTTCTGATCATGATGGGACTCATAAATCCCAACCGAGACCACTACTGTCAGAGCTAAACCTGTTGATGTTGCATGTAGGTGGGACTGCGGACTGATTGATGATGTTGCTGCATATGTGTATGAGTAGGACATAAATACATGTCAATTGTACAGGTACTGGTACTCCTCTGTGTTCATGCACATGTACATTGTTCATTTAGTCTTAAGTATACATTTATACTGGTACATGTACACAGACATTTATGAGTGCATGTTTTGTTTGCAGTACTGTCTTTTTACAGCCGTCAAATGTTGAAGGAGAGGTGTTGGAGAGGAATATACAGCAGAAGCTTTTTTGTTATTAAGAAATTAATGGAAGTTAGGTCTTGTTACAGATTTCAGATTTTGGACTTAACCGTTAAATACTGGAGCATACACGTATGAAAGAGACAATTTAAATGAGTTAATTTCTCCTCGTACATGTAATTACTTGCTTCTGAGCATACCACTATTTGTTATGTATCCACATGTACATGTAGTTCTAGTTACATGTAGGCGAAATACCGGTCCATAAATCAGCAGGTAAAAACTGAGACACATTAGCAGGGCACACATACAGGTAGTGATGTTTTTTACATCGGAGTAAAGGGTTATTGGGAATTTGGGACTCTGTGCGAGTGGATTTCTAAAGAGGAATCGTAGCTTTCAGTGACAACTGACAAGAAATTGCTGGAGGAGGATGTACAGTGTTACACATGGTCTTCTACAAACATGTACATGTACATGTACAAAGTAACATGCACTGTACATGTACATGTATGTATGTACATGTACATGTATATACTGCTGCATGGGTGTTTTGTTATATTACACATATTGTTTAAAACCGAGCTTCCTGTGAAATTGCGAGAAACTTAGAAAGTCATATTTTCATCCCGTCTGTGAGGATTGCACTGTTGACATCCTCGCCATTGCATTTCTTACTGATAAGTGCAGCCTTAAGTCAACTGTAGCAATCTTGGTGACCAGACCAGTGTAATAAAAAGTCATCAATCATCCTACATTCTGAGAACAAATGTTACAAATGATGTACCACAAACAAATGTACATATAGAAAAACTCAATTTTTTTCCCTTTGAGCAAATCCACTGGTTATCATTAAAAAAAAGAAAAAGGAAAAGAGGGGTAATTTCATGGTAACGGAAAGACATTTTGATATTTTTAACACGCAGGAAAAAGTGTGTGTAAATGCTTTAACAGACAAAAGGACCACTAATGCACGTGTAATTCCAACAACAGTTTTACTTTTTTCAAAATAATCTGGTTGGCTGATTGTGAATGTTAATGAGGTTGTCAGGAGAATGACACAGTATGAAATACCATCATTCTGTTAATATATGTAAAAGAATTTACTCACACCACTTTTAAGGTACCCGTATATCCAATGTCATTCCATAATGTGATGATTTTTACCTATCGAATGTTTCATTTTCAATTTGCACCTCACATTTATCTCTGGAAACAACACGCTGACGTTCTATCAAAACAAACTTAATCACTTGTGCAGACGGTTTTATTGTATTTCACCAAGAGCCAAGTTCTAGTGATAAAAAAAAGAAGATTTTTCTTTTCCCCTAATTATTCAGGGAAATCTACAAGGGCTTATCAAGTTAACAGGTGTTAAGGGATTTGAGTCACAGGTACCCGTAGCCAGTAAGAGGTATTGCAGTGCTATGGTTAATTTCTCTTAGGAACCCCCCCCCCAGGATGTTCATGTGGCTCAGCCACTCTTACCGGTACTTCTTGGCTCCCCTTGGCCTTTTTTTTCCTTCAAAGGGCAGAAGGCAAGGATTAGGGGATGTCATTGAATTGGCATGATCAAGAACAGAGAAATTCCTATGGATTTTGTCATGGAGGCCTGAATGTGTGGCTCTCATGTCCTAGAGTGGGAGTCGACAATAAAATATACATGTATTTCTACATAGGTTTTTTTGTGTGAAAACCCTTGATGTTAAATAGGGCAGAGGTTGCAGTGACTGACGGGTACCCATCACAGCTTAAGTTTTAGGTAGAAATTTACCAGACTGCGAAGTTGGTTGCTTAACAATTTTACCCATACAGAGGCATGCCATTCTACATGATGGGTATCAGAATAACACAATTTGACTGTTTGAATTTCAAAAAGTGTTTATTTGAAAACCTGTTTATTTGAAATGGTG